CCAAATATCTTTAAATTAATCATCTTGACATCAAGATGCATGGACATGAAAAAAAAATGATTTTAAGTTTTAAAAATAGTGTATTTTGTAATGCATTTTTGGATCGTTAATTTTCAATATTTTCAAATTTTCATAAATCTATCGATCTAAAGTATTATTGAAGCTTTAAACTTTATAAATAAAGATGAAAATATATTTTAAGGCTATCACAAATATTTTCAGTATTGAAACCATATTTCTCGACACTATTTGAAGGTAAACTCTAATTTGATTGTTTAGAGCCTAGGCTCTATACAAACCATACCCTTGTAAAAATGATGTGGGTCCCACTCAAACTCTATTATTTCATTGGATGATGACGACCTTGGATTATGCTTGCTAAAACTGAAAGAGAGCACAACATCGGTCTTTATCTTCTTCTTCTCTTCTTCCTCCTCTTTTTTTTTTTTTGTCCAATGGTGACTTAGAAGTTTTCATTATTTTTCTCAATGTACAAGTATACAAAATTGTATTGTTTAAGGACATAAATATAAAATATAGTAATATGGCCCATATTCCTTTCCATTCTCCAACCACATGAAGCGTGACCCTTGATGTGAAAGGCCAAACATCTTGTGTGAATATCTGATTTAAATGGAAGCTAGATATTGCAATATTGAACCTTCATACTCAAAATCACTAAGAATAAGAGAACATATTCTATGATAAACAAAGTTAAGAATCTCTCTCTCTCTCTTTAGATATTGAAATACTGAAGCTTCATACTCAAAATCACTAGTAAGGGAACATATTCTATGATCCTCTCTCTCTCGTTAGATATTCAAATATGGAAAAAGTTTAAATAAGGTTGCAATCTTAAAATGTAGAATTAAAGATGCGCCTAAAAAGTCCATTATAAAAAGTTGTTTGGATGTTGGAAAACCCTCTAATGGATTATCTCGACATTGTGATGCATGAATATGAAAAGAATATACGAAATAGTGCATCTTGCAATATTGAAGCTCGACACTTGGCCTATATTTGCCTAGGTCCTCTTTATTCTCGCAGGTATAGGTCTTTTTTATCCTTGTGACAGGTGTCCTTAGCTAAAGCCTAAGGCTTATTAATGTAACTAATAAGGCTTAAGGGTAGATAATTTAAGAGAAATTTACGTACGGACCGGTTTTTAATAACGTTATAATGAAATAGCCCAAATATATGTTGTTATTACTCAGAAGGATGGGAATTTGAATCGTACGGGGGGCAAACTTGCCAAAAAAAGAAAAATTCTGGAAAAAACGGTCCGAGGTTTAAAAAATCGGACTGGAGGAAAACTTGACAAAAATTAAAAAATTTGAAATTCCCATCCTTCTAGATAATAATAGCGTATTTTTTAGCTTTTTTGTTATGACCCTATTAAAATCCCGTCTATACGTAAATTTCCCATAAGTTTTGAGGCATTTCGTTATAACACTTAATGGTTTAAAAACCGAGGAGTCAGCACGGACACGAGAATCGATCACTCCGTGTTGATTCTAGCTCAAAACAGGAAACCGCCCATGTTTAGAAAGGAACCGGGCGAGTCGGGTGATTTTGCTACAATTGACTCGTCGATTCCATCGAGTTCCAACAATGAACAATGAAAGTTGAATGATTTGAGCTCAATCTTTCAAGGTTTTTTATCAATTATTTGAGAAAAATCGAATCTTTGCAGCTTTCACATATCACTTTACAATCTTATTGATCATTAAAAACAAAACCACCATCGATTTGAAGCAACAAATTCACAAATCAAAGGATTTTTTATCTTGATAGTATCATTGACAAGAAATTATAGTCTATTTTTGGGGTTTTTGGTCAATTATTGGTGGATTCGTGCTTTGAACTCACGGTTTTTGAAGAACAGGTAAGCGTTTCAAAATTTCCTCTATTTCATCAATTGCAAATGAAATAAGGCAAGATTTTTTATCAATTCTGATATTTTTTTTATCTTAATAGTATAATGCATAATATATTGTAGCCTATTCGGTTTTTATTGTCAATTACTGGTGTATTTGTAATTTGAAGTCACGGTTTCTCAAGAATAGGTTAGGGTTTTCAGCTTTTTGCCACTTCATCGATTGTAGGCAAAATAGGGCACGATTTTTTATCAAATCAGAGGTTTTTTTTATTTTTATTCTTAATATTATTATTCACAAAATATTATAGCCTATTTTCGGTTTTTTTTGTCTATTAATGATGTATTTGTGATTTGTAGTCACGGTTTCTCAAGAACAGGTTAGGGTTTTCATTTTTTTGCTATTTAATCAATTGTAGGCGAAATAGGGTACGATTTTTTATCAAATCAAAGTATTTTTTATCTTAATAGAATTATTCACAAGATATTGTAGCCTATTTTCGGGGTTTCTAGTCAATTAATGGTGTATTTGTGATTTGAGTAATTAATTTTAAAATAATTTACTGATTAAAGTGTGAATTATATTCAATTGATTGTCAATTTCTAATTTTCATGAAAATAACTTGTATTGTTCAATTTTATTGTCAATTATTTAATACAAATACATGGTGTATAATTTTAGGGTTCTTTGACTAATTAATTTTAAAACAATTTGTTAATTAAAAGTGTGAATTAATCTCAGGTGCCCAATAATTTAGATGATTTGTTCCTAGATCGAGTAAATATCAAACGAATTCAATCAATGGCACTAGTGTGACCAAGATGAAGAACAACATCATCTTTATTGTAGTTTATATATGATTATATATTTCATCCATGATATTTCTATACTTCTCCTGTTGTGCGCTGTAAATTTAATGGTTAACAGTAGTTCATACAGGGAAATGACATCTCAATATTCACATATTAATACAAAACAATGAAAGTTATTAATGTAGTACCCCTATTTCTTATTAGATTCTTAAAAAACAATATTTATAATGATTTTTAATAATTTTTTTGAGTTTTTTAAAGGCTGAATCTGATAGATTCGGCCGATTCTCGATCCGAAACACCGATTAACCGATCCAGATGGATTTTTGGGGTGCCTGATCTAAGGCACCGATCCGTTTTTTAAACCACTGGTATTCACCTATTTTTACAAAGTAATGAAAGTACATAATGCATCTCTCCTTATTACGTTTAGAAATTAAAATAACAACACTATTTTTAGAGATTTATAACTCATCCATGATAATTCTATGCTTTACTTTTTATGTGATGTAAATTTAATGGTTAACAGTAGTCCATACAGGAAAAGAACATCTCAATATTCGCATATTGATGTAAAAACATGAAAGTTCTTAATAGAGTACCCCCATTTCTTATTGGATTCCTAAAAAGTAACATTTATAATGAATTTTAATAACTTTTTTGGATTTTTTTAAAGCTGAATTCAACCGATTTAGCTGATTCCCAAATCGAATAACCGATTTACCGATTTGGATGAGTTTTTAGGGTACCTGATCAGGGGCACCAATCCGTTTTTTAAACCACTGCTTATAATACATGGAAGTCACCATCAAACCTACCTATTAATTGTGAAACTCAATGGCCTGGGTTATGTGATGAATATTGAAAATTTTTCTTTTAGACTTTGAACCAAGACAATGTAGATCCTAAGCTGCAAGATTTGAGATCCAACGACCGTGGTCATGACCTTATTTGTACCAAAAGCAAAATTCTTGTCCCATGCTTTTCATTTTTAATAACAAGATCAAGTAAAATCCTCTTATATGAATTATTACCAAACTCGACTTTTGCATCTAGTTTGTTCAAATAGTACATGTTGAATAAATAAGTCAGGTTCAATTAAAGAGTTTAACAATGACGGCTCTTGAAATTTTGTAACAAAAGTTTCTCTTTGACGATGAAATAGAAACCCACAACCAAAACTCGATTCTAAAAATACAAAGAATGGAAATAGTCGGGACCGGTCAATGCTATAAAACATAAACAAATGAGAAGTTTTCTACGTAAAGTTACATAAATAAATGCATGGATCTATCAGAAGAGATGGCGGGCTTCAGAACTATGCTAACTGCTAGAGAGAGTGCGGGAGGAAGAAGACCCATAAGAGGTGTAAAGCAAAATAGAAAAAATAAAAAATAAAAACACAGCCCATAGGATTATAAAAGTCTCCAAACATAAGTTGTGGTTTTACTTCTGTCATTTTTATGTGTCTAGAAAACATGCCCAAATCCTAATATAGATCGAGAAATTTGCAGATGTTTTCGCAATTTCAGTCTAGGTTCCTTCAGATTTTGAACCATGTCTATTTCCGGGGCAGTTTCATCCCAAGTATCAATTGCTTCATGGCTGGGCCAACTAGTATGTTCGTGAATTTAATGACATTGGTTTAATTTCACGTTGTAATGATAAAATTTAAAATAGATTTTCACTAATCTCGTGTGTTGAAATTATTATTACGAGCTTCTCTTTTTGAACAAAGTTATCTAAATGAATAGCATGCATTATCTTCATAATATTTGTCAACAATATCCAAATATAACAGATAATTAGAAAAAGACATATATATGGATACCCATGCTAACAATCTGCCATAACGTAAAAATGTTGGAACCTTAAAAACTGTTGCCAAGCAATTTGTAAGAAATGGTCAAACAATGAATAAGTTCTGACAATTTATTTAATATTCAACAAGATTAAATATTCAGATATCATGCAAGAAAAATAACATGAATACACTCCCTTGACATTATAAAAAATTCTGCCCTTTAGTTCCCCAATGAACTGCTGTTCCTCATGCAAAAAGGTCAAAAGAAAGAACCCCTATAAAGATTGATTAATGAATAGAGAAAAGTACAACCAGCACCAACCCCATTCCTCGCGGGATAAGGAAGTGATTAATGCAGAAGACTCCAGTGTAATTCATTTGCATAAGAATTTGCAAGAGAAGTCGACTTTAAACAAAAAATAATTCTTCATCCTTCTTACTGTGCTAAAGAAGTCCAATATACATACTCAGAGCTCGTGCGCATAACCAAGTTCTAGATGCTAACATTCCTTTGCAAGCTCACTCTAATTAGTTAATTATACAGTTTTTAAGCAACAAAAGAGTTATTCCTAGAAATCATATGGAAACTTCATTATAACACTATGTTTCTGCTACAGAGAGAGAGTTATTCCTAGAAATCATATGGAAACTTCATTATAACACTATGTTTCTGCTTCAGAGAGAGAGTTATTCCTAGAAATCATATGGAAACTTCATTATAACACTATGTTTCTGCTAGAGAGAGAGAGAGAGAGAGAGAGAGAGAGAGAGAGTTGAATTCTTATTGAAATGAACCGATCAGACCATCTTCTTGTTCTTCTTCTCCAGATAAGGCTTCACCCTCTGATACTTCAAAACAGCCCATAACATGTGCCTGAGTGCGAACTCAGGCCAAAGCGCATTAGAGATATGCAAGTAACAGTGGGAAGATTGCCAAAGAAGGTAATTACTTAGCCTGGTCTCTCCTGAAGTTCTGATCAATAGATCAGGTTCAGGACACCCAGCTGTGAACATATGCCTCTCCAAATCAGAAACTTTAATCACATTATTTTCTCCATCACGCTTGTGAACATTCTCCATTATTGCCCCACTAGTCAAATTCGAGCCCAACCGAATCTTAAACCGTTCAGTACAAGCCCCTTGGGCAGCTCGTGTGATCTCGTTCGTAGAAGAATAGGCCACACAGATTGATAAAACCACATTATCATTTTTAGCAGTCGCATTCATGGCTCTCTCAGCTGCTTCCCTAATATTAGGTTCCAAATTTCCAAGAAATGTCACTCGAATTCCATACCGGTTCACAATGCTCTCTTCTTTCAATATATTTTCAATCTTCTCATACAGAAGATCCATGAGAAATTGGACTTCATCAGACCTTCTCTTGAAATTATCGATGCTAAAAGCACAGATAGTCACATATTTCACCCCCATTTCATAGCAACAGGTAAGGGTGGACATCAAAGAGAGTAGCACAATTTTATGGCCATCCACCTCTTTAAGATGATGCTTTCGTGCAAATCGTCGGTTTCCATCCATTATAACTGCAACATGTTTGGGTTTTGGGCCAAAGATGACCACATTCCATATACACTTGCATAAGAAATCACGGGTTTCCGCATATAACCTCGAAAGAAGACCTAGCCCAAGAGAACCCTTTTCAAAACCCTGGGTTTCTGCATATAAACTCGAGAGAAGACTTCCCCCAAGAGAACCCATTTCAAAACCTTAGCTTTGTTATAAGGTGAATAAGCTAGACCGAGGATCAGAATCTGGTTTCTAGTAGCAAAGTCTTAGTGAGAAGGAACCAATATTGAGAAGATCCAAGTTCAGGAATGACCTCAAAACCTAGGAAACGATTCCTTAGCTTTATTCTGAGGTGAATGAGCTGGAGGTCTAGTAAGTCGGGTTTCTAGTAGCTTAGTCTCAAGTGAATGAACCAATTTGAATTCAGAAGATCAAGGTGTAGAATGAACCAATTTGAATTCAGAAGATCAAGGTGTAGAATTACTAGTGCAATCTTGAAAACTTAGAAGAAGTTGCTTTGCTAGTTTGAATGGAGTCTCCTTATCTGCAAAACCCCAAATGCAGTCACATGAAAATAAGAGAATCAGAACGTGAAAGTCTTACCAATTTCAGAAACCAGAAAATATTGATGCAATGACTGTGGAGACCTTTTTTCCTTCTTTTGATTGGGAATTTGGAAAAACTAATACAAGAAGAAAGAACATTTCAAAGAAGTTACAGCTAGATGAAAACCAACAAAGAATCACAATATAAACAAGAAAAGCTGAAATCTCAAAACACAAGCTGCAAAAGACAAAATTAAAAATTTAAAAAGAAACTTATGCATATAATCCCCACACTTTCCTTTATTATAAAAATCTCCCCAAAGTTTTGTTTTTTACTGAATTAAAAATTCAAAGAGAAATTTATACATATATCCCCAACAATTTCCATTATTAAAAAAATCTCCCTCTGTACTTTATTTTATTATTAATTTGCTACTATTTCGGATTTTCAAGATCTAAAGTCATACCCATATACTCTTTCTTGCCTCAATCGTTTTTTTTTTCTCCCTAGTTTGCCACCACTTCGGATCTTGAAGATCCGAAGCCAAGTATGACTTGATCTTGAAGATCTGAAGTCATATAAATGGATATGACTTTGGATTCAACAAAAAGGAAAAAAAAGAGATATGCCTGTAAAAAACAAAAATTGGGGTATTTTGTCAATAAAAAAATTGTGGGGGGTATAAACGTAAATTTGTCATATTCAAAATCTAAAGAAGAAGGGAAGAAGAATCCGAAAAAGATGCAAAAGTCAAAAACCAAGTTCTAAGTCCTCAATACCAGATCAAATCCAACTTTCTGAGAACTCTTAAAACCAAACTAAAATAGGGAGTTTATGAACTCAAATTCTAACCATAAACATGAAGAATAGTTGAAAAAGGCCTGTTTTGCATAAATCAAAATCTTACAAAAAGAGAAAAAGGAACCTAGATGAAAGGGTAAAGGGAAATTTGAAAATTCTACAAAAAAAAGAAAAAATCTTGATTCACAAAAAACTCATGAGTATGAAAAATTATTGATAAAAAAGGAAGGAACAAACAGAGTACAAAAATAAAAGAAGATCTCTGAGAAGAATTTGAATAAAATCAAAACTTTAATCCTCAGAGACCATATTAAATATTACAATCAAGAGATGCACACAACCATAAGAAATCAAAGATGGTTTCTTATAGCCTTGATAACCCTCATTAAGGCTGTGATCGGGGGAAAACCACTGATTCCCATCAAAGATAAATGCAATGTGTTGTGGAATTAGGCGAATGGAGAGCAGGAACCAACCATATGAAATCACATATGGTTTCATATAGCCATGATACAGGAACAAATTCTACCACTTCCTTATGGAAAGCATAGCTTAATCTCATGGCAAGTGATCAAAGAAAACGATGACTGACAAAACCAGATAGAATCCCAAAGAGCAAGAACAGAGTCTGATGCGCCCAAATCCTATGAGCTTAAACTCAAATTCTTACTGGCTTGAAACCAAAATGAAATACTTGCGGTTTGGACCTATAAGCAAAACCAGCATTCTGATGTCTCCTGATTCTACTAGCATGAACTCAAAGTGAAACAACCGGTTTGGATTCCTGGAACCCAACCTGCAAAATCAGAGGGATGATCTCTCCAATCTTTTCTAGCATAAAGTCAAATCCTACTACTTGAAAAAGTGAGAAAACCATTTGGAATAACCAATATGTTTTCTGCAAAATAACAGACATGAAAACTCTAAACATTTCTAGTTTAACCTCAAACCCTACCAGCTTCAAATGAACATTGTAATTAGTTTGAAGCTAATCTGCAAAACTGGAGGTTTGAGTTCTCCTGATCCTATGGGCTGAAATCCAAAGTGAGCTAACTAGTTTGAAAAAGAAAAATTCAAAATGTAAGATACACTAAATATAAAATTGAAGAACTCAAAGAGGAAGAAGCCAGTATTCTAATACCAATTCAAGAGATTGAACCTGAAATAATTAAAATCCAAGAGACTAATCAATCTAAAAAACCCAGTTTGAGATCTTATATAACCAAAAATCAAAGAACTATCTGCAACGGTTAAGCAACTGTAGTCTGAACAAGAACCAATGAGGAAAAGCATAACCTTATATCAAAAGCATGAACCAGAATAAAGTCAAATCCGAAATCTAAAAAACACAGCAGCAATACCCAGTTTGAGATCTACACAACCCAAATTGCCAGAATCAATGCAGTCCTTCAAACACAAGTAGAACTCTGAGAAAGGCCAACTAAAATTTGGGAGAAAACTACATAGTCCAAATCCTTAATATAAACCAAAAGAATAGAGAAGCCAAACTAAAACTGGAAAATCCTGAATCAAGAAAAGCATGAATAGGAATTGGATGTACTTTTTTGTTATTGTTAGCCTTGCAATATATAACGGAGTGTCGAGGCACATAAACTTTGTGCCAAACATTCTCTTTGCGTGAAGCATGTATACTGCTTCAGAGATATTTCATGGGTTGTTTTTTTTTTTTTTGAACATTAACTACTAGTAGTGGGTTAGCAATTTTTGAAACTGGTAGTAGTTTTCGAAAGAGGTTAGCATTGGTAAGAATGGAAACCGATACTGATAGCTGCTTCACAAGTGGTGCCACCACCAGCACCACCTTGACTTCAACCCCATTCCCAAAATTTAGAAATGTCCTAAACTTCCAATCAATATGCAGTAAAAAATGTCCAAGATCCAAAACCCACTCGTTTTATTTAACTATTTAGAATCTCATTTACATTGTGACCGGACCTAAAAATTTAAAAGTGGGATAAAAAACGAAATGGTGAAACTTTCATGACTTACCAAACCACTCTGCGAGAATCTCCTCTCTCTCTCTCTCTCTCTCTCCTCCCTACCCCTAAACCCTTTAACGTTAACGTAACTACTATAGATAGCTACTACTACTAGTAAGTAAGTAGTAATAAGTTAAAGTTAAATAACTAAATAATTAGTACGACGACGTAAC